TGATTGGTCAACAATGGTTGCACCCATTCGGATTATAGGTGCACCCATTCAGAATAGGCACCAACAAGCCTATAAATACCCATCATTGGGTTCATTTCAATTCACACCAAGTTCAGAAATCTTCTTCTCTTCTTCTGAATTTCTTCTTCTAATTCTTCTTTGTTCGGTTCAGCCACTGGTTTGGGTTCAACCTAAACTGGTTTGGATTGGGTTCGAACCTTGGTTTCCAAGTTTCGGTTCAATCTTGGTTTCCAAGTTTCGGTTCAATCTTGGTCTCCGAGTTAGGGTTCAATCCTGGTCTCCGAGTCTAAGTTCAACAGAGAGTACTACACCGAGCCGGTTCGCCTATTCCATTGGTTTGAAGTGCTACTACCAAAGGAAGAAAAGTCGTTGTATCCTGGGAGATAGACGCCGAAGAGTCCGTTAGCACCGTAGCGGGGCGTATCTGTCTTAAGGCTATAGAATTAAATTCTAGCCTCGACTTTATCAGGTTCTTTTATAGTTTTATTTTCTTGATATTAAACTATATAAATATATATATATAGATTATTATAATAAATATTATATTTACAAATAATATTTAAATAAATTATACTATAGTATATGATACATAATTTATCAACACCTCTTCCCTGTGATTATCTTCTTCCACGGTGGCACCGACGACAACCACAATCCTCTGTTCTTTCTCCACCACCACAACCCTCTGTTCTATCTCCACCAATAAAGCCCTCCGATATATATATATATATATATATATATATATATATATATATATATATATATAAAAGATTCATAATATCAATCTTTGGGGCATTTTTTTACTCAATTTTAATTCCAAAATTCAACTCAGAGCGTCAAGGAACCTACCAGCGAAGCTCCGAACATTAATGTCCATGAACTCTGACTATCGTGCTTCATCTCCATTCCAATGTCTTAGCGGTAGGTGGGTGTAGGGGTATAATGGTCATTTAATTAAGCAGTATGATATTTTGGAATAATTAAGATTAAAAAATTAGGGGCAAAGTTGTCTTTTCTATGTATTTAACGGAAAAATAGAAATAGACCTCAGTAAGAATTATTTTCGAAAAATGTTTGAGAGTAAAAAATGGTCAAACCTAAGGGGGTGGGAGTGAAATTAACCTTTTATTATATTATGTTAAAGTATTAGGATAATAATGACCATTCGTTTTGATTCAATGGCCAATTTCACATTTTCGCCAAGTTCATCAAATGAATCTACAAAACATAAAGGTTAGGCATTATTCCCGGTCATTTGAATGAAAAGATATTGGGTCAGCCGAGTATACAATGTCATTGGTATGTTCAACAATGAAAATGTACTATTCAAATTGGTTTAGAGCAATTTTTCATATAGAAGGGACCAATATTATTAAATTATGCATTTTCATTAGCTTGACGTATCAATGTTCTTTGTGGAGTTATATGCATGGTGTATTTGTGGATTTAGTGGCAAACAATTTTGAAGTTAATTCAGTTAAAAATTAAAAATGTTATTTTAATTTTTTTTTTAAGATATTCAAATAAGCTTGGACTAGGTCTTTCCAACTTGAGGTCGAATTCAACTTAGTGTCAGGTCCTACCATTGGAAGTTATGCCACGTAGGCAACACGTGCGCGCTGAGTTGGATGTTGCATGGCTTTTGCATGGCATGGAAGATTCTAGAGTTCTCTAGAGTTGTGTGGAGTAAGTAGTATGGAGAGTTCTAGAATGTTGTAGATATGCATGGAAGAGTAGTGAAGGTTGGAGAAAGTTCTAGAGGAAGGATCTCCACCGTTGGTGAGATTGCATCTTAGATGTCCGTTGGGGATGGGAATACTTATAAATAGGGAGTGCATTTCATTTGTAACCAACAAGAAGCTCCAAGTGTGATACCCCTAATTTCCAAGCATGAGTTGATCAGGTCCATACCAAAAAATCGAGAAATATTAAAATAATTAGGTAATAATCAAGCATAGAATACAAGAGGATAAATAAGAAATAAATAATAAGTTGAAAAAAATTATAATAAATGAATAATCAATCCATGAATAATTAATAAATCTCCAAACGTCAAAAAAATACAACTCGGGAATCCAGTAAAATAAGGACCCCTAATAAACTCAAACTCCAATACTGAAACTTAAATAATTCAGGAAAAAAAAAAACTTAAATAATCCCAAAGTCTAAAGAATAAATAAATAAATCAGTGTCATACCCTGAAGTGACCGGAAGAGGGATGAATGATGTCTTTGATTTGCTACGAACTCCAATCTATGTCTGAAACTGATGATGAGCTGAAAAGTATGAACAAAAGGTGGGTTAAACCCACAAATTAGTCTTCTCTACTACGACCCAATAAGAGAACCGATAAACAATTTATCTTTAACCAAAACCATCCCTATGACTAATATCTATAAATATAGAATAACTGACAAATATGGTATAATAAACAACTAGATGTATAAAATATACATATATAAATATATATATTTATATATAAGTAAGTCATCCATCCCTTGGGAGTAATATCCCTCCAAATAAAATTATGCATATAGATATAAAAAGAGAAAAAGAGAGTTAGAGAGAGAGCTAGCCGAAATGAGAGATGAGAGGAATTGGTTAGCTAACTTCAAAACAGCTTTGTGGTCCTCACCTTGCCAAGTGTCAAATGGTGGTTCCTCATACTTTAGTCAAACTTCCTCATTTGCCCCTTTATCATTGCAATGACAATTAAACTTTCAAAATATCTTACCATATATGTACACACACACACACACACACATATATATATCTCATGACAAATAAATAATAAGTGTAAATGAAAAACTGGGAAGAATTCCTGTGCACAATAGTCGGTCCCGACACCGAAACTTCAAAACTACTCTCGTAAACTCTAACATGTTCAAAATAATTAAAATGCATTCTCAAAACTCCTGAACTTATAAAAATATCCCGAACGACCCTCAAGACCCACGTGATACGCAAAACGAGATATGGTAAAATAATAAAATAAAATATCAAAAAATCCGAAAAATTCTGGGACGTTACATAAACAAATATGCCTTCTCTCTCTTAATCTCCTATACGGAGAATCCTTTGTGCTAGCTTGGAGCTCTACTCAGCCTTTAATCCTAACATTCTCGACAGACATGGAACGATCTCCTTAAACTTATCAAGAACCAGTATCTATAAAAGTCTTCTTTGTAGTAATAGAAGCATTTTTTCCTTGCCAACCAATTATGCCTATAAATGTGTGTGTGTGCAAGCCAAGTGAAGTCATGAGGGTGAGAACCACTACAACACTAGTGAGTGAGTGCACAAGTGAAGAGTGTGTTGGCGATTTAGTGTATGGGTGTTAGGCCAACGAGACACCTTGGTGTCGCATGGGAGTGGGTAGAGTGGTAGAGATACTATAGGCCTATGACAGTTGGTATCAGAGTGAAGGTTTGTGTGCGTGAGGAGGCGTCTGGGTATGAGACTTGTGTTGACAAGGGCCAGTGTTGGGGAGACAACGCAAGGAGGTGATTAAAGGTGCTGCCAAGGAAGAACCCCATCCATTGGGCGAGTGCGCTAGGGAGCTACACAAGGAAGCAATGGAAAATTATTGTCAAACGTACTATTAGTCTAGTAACTAAAATATGCAAAGACAAAAAATGGAGGAAAAATGTAAATCATTATTATTATTATTATTTATTTATTTTTTTAACGATAGAGATGTTGAGTAGCTTACAACATCTCATAATTTTTATCAAAAATATGCAATATCCCGTTTCATATGCACTGAGCAATTACTAAATATATGTGTGTATATATATATATATACACATATTTAATAGAACTTTCAAATATATATATATATATATATATATATATATATATATATATATATTTAATAGAACTTTCAAATTCCATAATATGAAGTAAGTAGGGAGTCTTGGCATTAGAATATCTCCTTTCCGGTTGGAAATTGCAAATTCAAATGAGCAAGAAATCAAATTAAACTGATTCTTGATATAATAGGGTTCATCAGATTGCAAATTGCTGTCCATCACTTTTAAAGATTGTTGAAGTTTTGTTGGGTATATTAGATTTTCTTACCCAACAAAATATCTATATAGAAACTGCCTTTTTTCAGAGTTTTTTTCTTTTCATTGGTGCAATGTCAGCACCGCCTCTTTTAAAATTTACTTTTAAAATAGAGATGGTAATTTGTCCGGCGGGGATATGTACTTGCCTTGTTTATAGTGGTTTTGACTTTTGAGGGAATTAAGCTTATTTAGGCGAAAATTATTTTTGTTAATGAAAACTCGTGCGTGTTCGGGGCGGGGATGGGGAGGTCACCCCACCCCGGGATTTTATAGTTATATAATTGTATGTAAGGAAAGAAATTAAAAAACGAGGAGAAATTTTAAAACTGGGCGGGATTTTCTAAATAGTTGTGGGGGTGGGGGTGGGGGAGGGTACACCCGCCCAAAATTACCACCCTTGCCATCTTACTTTAAATGGTGCTATACCAATGTTATCATGTTTAATTTTTTTTATTTTTTATTTTTATATTTTTTTTTATTTTACCGTGTTTTATAATTTTTGTTTTTATGATTTGTATGTTTTAAAAACTTGTGACATTGGTGTCTATATGTTGAATCTGTTTTAATTAAGCAGATATGAGTTGATTTTCTTGAAATTATTGGTTTTTTTGGGAAAAGGTTAGCTACTGAAGTTTGACATAGCAAAGACTTTAAAATTCATGATCACCTACTTACTCCAATTGTGACCATATATTCTGGAAAAAAAAAAAAAAATTCTTGAAATATGTTCATCCACAAACATGCACTCAAACATATAAAATTAATTACTTTTTCCATTAACTCATGCATTGAACAATGGATGGCCAATACAACTACAACTAGGAATTATTGCAATATTGGACAAAAATTAACTTATATATATCTAGTAAAATTCAAAATCTTCATGCTCTACTCATCGATAAAAGAGGGCTAACTGCAAGCAGGAGGTATCACTTGGCCGCGGGAGATGACATTGGCATGAGCACAAGTAGAAATAGCAGGACCTTCATGACCAAGGTATTTTAAGTTGATATTCTCAAGCACAATGTTCTTGCCTGGCTTGCTTTCACTACACACCAGTTTTACTGCTTCTCTTGTTGCAGAAGTGCCCTGAATATTACTGAATGTAATATTTGCTATCTGAATCAACGATGAATCCTGTGAAGATCCCAAAAAAAAAAAAATAAATAAATAAATTATCATTAGTTTTTGGTACAATATTTTACTTTACTATTTTGGTTGAATATGTACTTTTTTTTTTTTTTTTTTAACAAAGTAAGAAGGGTTAGAAGTTAGATTAGTAGGTGCAAAGAGTCGAAACCTGACACTTCCAAAATCCACCGAAACCATTAACCACTGGACTATCAAGGCATTGCAATGTGTACTTTCCTTTACTAATTCATGGTTGTGTGTGTTTGTGTCAAATATGTACCTGACGACATGGAGGGAATGGACAATACTGTTGATCGATGTTGATGGGACTGGAAACATCGTTAACAACAATGCTATCAAATAGCATGTTTGAAACAACACCACCACCATCATTTGGTGCTCCAGCCCATGTTTTGATCCTCAAGCCATTAAGGGTGCGCGTAAAAGTGCAATTTGTGACTACTAATCTTGTCACATGTTGCTCTTCATCAGTTCTCCCTAAGCTTCCGACGCTGATTCCATGTCCCGGACCACAGAAACTCTTGGAAATGTGGATCCTACGGTTTTCGGGACCCAAAGATACGCAATCATCTCCGGTGGCTATGTTCATTACTGAAAGCCTAATGTTGGTTGAGGCACTGATATGGATTCCATCAGTGTTGGGACTGTCCCCAGGAGCTGATATTCCAATTTGACTTAAGTTCATGTCGCGACACCCGAAAATGTTGAGATGCACATTCTTGCTGTTGAGTGAGTTTATGTGACTGATCTCTGAATTGTTGATGAAGTAGAGCAGCATTGACTGTTTTGAAAAGAAAGAAATCATCGTGTTAAACTCAATCCAAATCTTTATACATATATATAATATAAGGTATTTTCTATGATTGTATTATGATAAAGGAACTGAAAATAGTACTTACAGCAGGGAGGCCCGGGCAGTGACCCGTGCTACAAGTGTTAAATGACCAACCTGATGCACCTTGGCCATCCAAAGTGCCACCACCTGTGATTCTCAAGTTCTGCACAGCTTGGATGATAATCCAATTGTGTGTGTTGAGGAACTGTGCTGGTTCTGAGGGAGCCTTCAAGACCCCTTTGATCAAAAGCTCCACTGGACCATTGCATGGACCACTAAGGACCAATGAGTTCAAGAAGTATGACCCTAATGGGATCAAAACACTGCTCCTTCCTTGCCATTTACACGACTCGTTCCACGCTTTCGAAAATGCCTGAATAAATTAAAAACAAGAAAAGTGGTTAGCTACTGGGTTGATTCTACCCTACAAAGAAATAAAAAAAAACGTAACGTGCATGTAAGAATATATGGTTTAAGTTGATTTGAATCACCCGTAGCCCAGCGGTTGGGTTGCTTGCTTTGACTCTTCACACCCACTAACTTCTAATCTAACATTATTGCCATGAAAAAAAATTTGTTGATTTGAATCGATATATATACCTTAGAGTTATCAGTCTTTCCATCTGCAACTGCACCATATTGGAACACATCAAAAACCTTGGGTTGGAGTTGAGCATTGGTAATGCACACTACTAACAAGAATGATACTAAGAAAATTATATTGAAAACTGAACGCAAACCCATCTCTCTTGTATTCCTTCTTTGCATTTAGATTGTTCTTGCTGGAAAATTTCATATATTTATACATGTGAATATGGGATATAAATGGATGGCGAATAAATTAAGCATTGATTTGCTCATTTTTTTTCTCATTGGACGAATCTGACTTTTTGGTACCTAACCAAAAAACAAAAAGAATTTTAATTTTTTTTTATAAAAAATCTGGTTTTTGGTATGCTTTGATTTGTTTCCTCAACAATACGAGTGATTTATTAGTATTGATGTGGAAGAAAAAAACTAAGAATTTTGGAAGGAGTAATGCTATCATGATGAGTTCTCCTTGAATCAATGAATTAACATAACTGGTTTATTAAATGGTTTATTTGACGTTTTAGGACTCTCCTAATAACACTAGTCAACTAATGAGTGTGAGCACATGTCTCTTGTCACAGGAGGACTCGTGAATAAAATATAAAGAAATTAGTGATCAATGTGTTGGGGAAGATTGATAGAGTTTCCATAACATTGATGGGAAAATGTCATTTTCTTTCAAAAAAAAAAAAATGGAAGAAGAAGAAGAAGAGGCCTTAATTTACTTACCAAAAAAAAAAAAGAAGAATCCCTACCTCCACCGAGATTCGAACTCCCAACCTCCCCTTTGGTGTGGAAGGGGTGATACCGCTGGGCTATTTGGTTCTTTGGTTTGAATGCTGCATTTTACTAATTAGTGATGATTAAAATAAAAAGAAAAGAGCGCAAGATATATAGAATTCCGACAAATGTACGGACTATACGTGTGTGTGTGCGCGCGCGTGTACGCATGTTTTTCCTAAGCAATGTAGGTGGAAATATTTGATTGCTTCTAATAATATTTCCTTTTTTTGAGGGTAAAAAAAAAATTGCATAGAATATATACTTAAAATTAGAAATAATATTTCCAATTAAATGTCATATAGTCTAGTGAGTTAGTGCATTCGGTTGACTTTGGAATATCATATTTTAACTACTAACACTTCTTGCCTTGAAAAAAAAAAAAAAAAAAAAAATCTTAGTCCTTTTTCTTTTTTCATAATTTATGTACTTATTTAGTTACTAAATTTATTTTTCTTTTTAGAGTCCTACCTACAATATGATTGTGGGTTCGACCCAAGAAATGAGCTTACTATTGCAGGCTTTGTGAACAAAATTATATATAAGGCTAGACAGATAAAGCCCAATAGGTTGGGAAGGCTTGCTGATAACAAAAACAAGGCCTTACAAAACAGGCCCAACTAAACTACCAAATCAAAAAATTCAATTCAAAGGTTAACCAATTTTCAATATTAATTTAATTAAATGGGCAATAGTCGAACCGGTACAAACCCACCTCCACAAAGAAAAGATAGAGATTCGAACCTCCACAGAGGTATGGGTATGTGAATTTGTTTAACCTTCAAAAAACACAAAAAATAAAAATAAATAAAAAAAATAAATATTCCACCACGTAAACAAGAGTTGTGGAATATAGTTGGTTCATCCCGATTGCTCAATATTTTACAGTGTACAGTTGAAAGCATTGTGGTTTGTGGATATTAGAGGGACATCCAAGTAGTAAAGCCACAAAGGTCCAAGTGGTTCTCCACCATGAGTTCCATTGGCTATGAGGAACATACACATTCACACCTTAAAGAAGATAATTTCGAAGGATTTATAGCTCTGATTTCCATCCTTAAGGATCTTTAATTTCCGATAAAGGTTAAAAATGTCATTAAAAAGTTTGACTTTTCAAATTATTTGGAAATAGACCAGATAACAAGGAAAATGTGGTGTCCTTGGACCTTCGATTTTTTATCTTAGAAATTTGTTTTGAGGACTGTTATGCTATGTTTGGTGTGCAAGAATGAAATAAAATAGAAAGCACATTCCAACCATTTCTTTATTTGGTATACAATTTAAAGTGGGAATGACCATTCCATTAAAATGAAAATCCATTCCACAATTAAACCTATGGAATGACCATTTCATTCCCAAGTAATTTTTTTAAAAAATTAACTTCCCAAAAAACCCTCATGTTCTAAATCCAAAAACCATCATTACCTTCCACCACAATCACCTCTGCCTTTCACCACCACCACAACTACCACCGCCGCCACCAGCTTTCACCATCGCCCATCACTTCCCACCACCACCACCGCCACCGCCACCGCCACCGCCACCGCCTTTAACCACTGCCACCGCCTTTAACCACTGCTACCGCCACCGTTTGCCACAACCACCACCACTGCCTTTTACCACTGTTACCATTACCGCCTTCCACCACCATTGCCGCCTTCCACCACTACCACCACCATCGTCGCCACTGCCTTCCACCACCGTCACCGCCCTACACCACCATTACCGCCTTCCACCACTGCCGCTACCGCCTTACACCACCACTGCCGCCTTCCACCACCACCATCACCTTTCACCACCACCATCGCCGCGAATGCCTTCCACCACCACCGCCGCCGCCACTACCTTCCACCACCACCTTTGACCACCACCGCCATCGTTTTCCACCACCTTCTATCACCACATTCCCACCACCAACATCTGCCACCACCTTTTTGTAATACCCCTAATTTTAAAAGGATAATCTCGACATTTTAATTAATGTTTTATTGCATTTTATTTGCTGACGTGGAATTTGCCTGTTTGTTTAGTTGTGGTTTTTATTTAATTTAATTATTGATGTTTTATTTAAATTGAATTATTTGTTTTCATTAATGTATGCTGATGTGGAAATTTAATTGTTGGTTTTCGTTAAATGTTTAATTAGGGTTTTATATTTTGTTTAGGTAATTAAGTTTTTGGCCGATTAGTTTTATTTCTCTTTTAGTTTTTCATCTCTTATTATGATTAAAATTAGGGTAAAATTATTGGCCTATATATATACTTGTATGAGTCTGCCAAGGGTTTTAGAACCCTAATCACGTAACAGTGGAGGTGACATGATACAGAGAGTTTTGAGAAGAAAACAAAGAGAAAGAGTTGGGGGTTTCGGCTGTTGATTAAAGGTCGGACCAAGGAGGAAGGTAGAGGTTGATTATTGGGTTAGAACTGGAGTAATAGGAGGCTTGACGGTAATTGGAACTCGTCGGAAAAATCTAGGAAGACGGCGTTAAGATTTTTATTTAAGGTCTCACAGGCAAGTTCCTATTCTAACTCCTTCCCTTAAACCTGTGTTCTGTGCATGCCTAGGTAGACTCCAGGGTATACATTAATGCTAAAACATATCTTTTATACATGTTTAAACTATATTTAATTTCGTTGGATTAAACTGGTTTGAGATTTCTTAAAGTTTCTAATTGAATTTTGATGTCGTTGATTGTAAGCTTTGTTTAATTGATGTCGTTGATGCATATAGATGTCTTATAAATAATTTGGGACATTGATTGAACCCTAGAACAAGTAATAAAAATATTATAGAGGCTCTAAGTATCGCCGGAGGAGAAGAAGTCGAAGGAAAACGGACGACGGCTTTTAAGGGAGAGAGAGTAGGCTCCCAAAAGGAGGGAGCCAGGTCCCTCAAGGCAAGAGCCGGCTCCCATTGTTTTGGAGCAGGCTCTCAACTTGTGAGAACCTGCTCTCGCCCAGAAACGCGTATAAACTGTTTTTAAGGTTCTGTTTGGGTTGTATGGGGTATTATAAAGCTGTTTAAACTGCACTGAATGTTGTAAATAGCTGTTATGGACCTATAAAAATATTGAGAAACATTATTATAATAATGATTTAAGGAATGGAGTAACATAAAGTGAAAAAAAAAGTCTACAAGTGGAATACTGTTTGGTTAATTTATTTGCTTATTGAAACTTAGCAAATCTTTTGTATATGATTTAATAATATTTAATCATATTCCAACAGTGTTATAAGTGTTAGGGATTATCTGAAAATAGTTATGCTTGGATTTGATTAAATTCATATTTTTTAAATATATTATAAATCGCATCAATTTATTGACTGATTGAATGATTTAATTGCTTACTATAATTTTAGCAATTTGTCTATGTATGATTAAACAATATTAATCATTGTTAAGCACTGTAATAAGCATAATTGACTATCTAAAACTTCAGTATTCTTATATGGTGTTGATTGATATTTTAACTGTTTAGATTTCATCAATGGTTGGATTTTTAGATTTTTATGAAATTTACGTTTAAGAATTTCATAATAATATGCTCAGTAATGATTCTAATTATCATTATATTGTTCTGGATTATAATTGATAAACTTCTTGTTCTGTTTTGTCAATTATTGGATTTGTTGTGTGGGTATGCACTGGTATGGGATGGTGGCATACTAGGGACGGATTAGTTCAAAACACTAAGTCCTACCTATTTGGAATAAGTTGGATTAAATATAAAAGTTAAGTTCTACTTATATATTTGTATATGGACCGGTATGGGACGGTGGCATATTAGGGATGGCTTAGTTTAAAACACTAAGACCTACCTATTCTGGGGGTGGATTAGTTCAAAACACTAAGTCCTACCTATTTTGTAATAAGTTAGATTAACTATAAAAGTTAAGTCCTACTTATATATATGTCAGGTCAATAAACATTTGAATGACATACCTTGAACGGACTTTTATATATATATCTTTATGGTGCCGCGATATGAGCTTGAGTCTCAGGATCATGGTTAGGGTGCGTATATCGCCTAGGATAGATAATTGGACAAAGTTACTGTTCCTGGTAGGTCTAGGTATACATGACCACGTTACGTGCGATTTGCATGTTACCTTCTATTCAGGCTGAGACTACACTAAAGCCTAGTGAGCGTCCTTTAGTGTGTATTTATGTCTATATGGACTACTTTAGTTATTGTTGAGCTATCTAAGATGAATCTGCGTATCGGGTTTCTGTATGGATTGTAGTAGGATACAACTTGCATGTGGGTCTAACCCACTCTTATTTTTCAGGTGCTCGTCAGTTCCAGGGTTAGAGCTTGATCGCACAGAGCAGATTCAGTCACTCATTCTTCCATTTATGTAGGACTGCTTTTTGTATTTCAATAGTTCTTTTTCATTTTGGGATTTTTAATAGGGGTCCACTGGATGGATTCCCAAGTTGTACGGATTGGAAAGTTTAAATTATATTAATATATAATTTTGAGGATTTGCAATATTTAGAATTCTTTTCAGCTTATTATTTTATTTTTATTTCATTTTTGTATTTCGTGCTTATTTACATATTAATTATTTGGTATCCCTCAGATCTGTGCTCGGACTTGATCACCTGTGACTCTAGAATCGAGGGGTATCATAGTTGGTATCAGAGCACTCCAGGTTCAGTGTCTCTAGGATTCTATTGTATAAGACTTCCGCGTAGCGTTTTCTCTTGTCTAAAGCTTAAGTTTAGGATTCGTTGTAGTTTTTTTGCGGTTCGGTTTAAATCGTACGGATGTTTGTCTTTCTCTGTTAACAGTATAGTTAACACTAAAAAAGGACAGAACATGCAAGGAAACAGTCGACAAAGGAGAGCGGCACGTATGCAGCAAGATCGCCTGCGGCGTTAGCAAATTGAGGAAGAACAACAACTGCCTAGGTTTCAAGAGGAGGAGCATGAGGAAGATGGTGAGTTGCACATAGAGTATGAGGATGTACAACAGACTCAGGAATCTCAGGATCGGGCCTACAATCAGGGTAGGAATCCAGAGTATTTTCCTCAGTTAATTTAGATCATTGCTCAGGCTATAGCTGCAGGCATAGCAGTGGCACTTTAGAGTCAACTACATATTCAGCAAACACTCAAAGTAGTACCAGCGGTGCAGAATGAGTTTCAAAGTCATTGTTTTGCCTGCGAAGATTTTGGGCATACATCCAATCAATATCCTGGGTTAGCTTAGAGACAGCGGAATGGGGGACCACAGGCAGGATGGGATCAGCCACAGTCTAAACAGCAGAGGATGCCGTTTGGTACTTTTAAGGGTACTTGCTATACTTGTAGAGAGTATGGCTACACTTCCAGGCAGTGTTCTAAACAAGGAGATATCGGGCCATCCAAGCAGGAGGGTACCGAATCACAAGGAGGATGGCTTTTTTAAGAGTAACTTTAATTACTAGTAGCAGTGAAGATACTAGTAAAAGTATAGTACGAATTTAATCACGTACACCAGTATTATGTTAAAGAATATTTTACGATTATTCTTTTGACAAATTATGGTTTAAAGAAGTTCTTAATAAAGTGAACTAATGGTTTTGGTTTTTCTCTTGTGTTTTATAAAAGCATATTGGTGATAGTTACATTAATGGCATTATTAAACTATTTTGGAATGGGTGTTGTGATGATAAAGGAATAGCACAATGGAATGGTTGGTATTTGGTCAGGCAAACAAATTTTTGCTTATAACTATGCTATGTGAGACATGACGATTACCAAGGAGTTTATAAAAGACCTTGTGTAAATCAATATGGTAAGTTTGATTTCGAAGGAAGAATTCACAGGATAGAGCGATAATCTAAAAGTGAGTTGCTTTCGGAGCATTTTGTTTTTCCTTATATGTTTTTGTTCTACGGAGTATTCTGAAACTTTGGGTTCTTATAGTTTTGTGGTGACACAGGTATGGGATAGATCTCATGGTGGTTCTACACCTTTAGGCGATGTTGCCATTTTATATGAGGGTAATGGGTCTGAGACACTAGATATTGATAGACTCAGATTTCTAGTCAATCTAGTGGTCCTGGACATGCACACTTATGCTGTGTTACTTGGGATGGATTGATTATCTCACTATCATGCCCAAGTTAATTGTTTGGATAAGTCTATTGTGTTCGCCATACTTGGTCAGGATATGTACGCCGTTGCTATGCCACGTTTTAACGGGGTTACTAGTACATATTTGTTCCATATGGAGGAGGAAATGAAATAAGGGATTACTGTAACATTGGATAGCATACCAATCGTACAGGACTTTTCGGATGTTTTTCAGGAGATTCCAAGGTTGCCGCCTAGTCATGAGATAGACTTTGTAATTGACTTAGCTCCAGGCACTACGCTTATTGCTAGGGCACCATACAGGATGGCACCAGTGGATATGCAAGAGCAGATGGATCAGATTCAGCAATTACTCAGCCAAGGTTTTATTCGTAGGAGTACTTCACCCTGGGGAGCATCAGTTTTGTTTGTGAAGAAGAAGGATGGTTCACTTTGCCTGTGTATAGATTACAGGGAGTTGAACAAAGTTACTGTTCGTAAGAAGTACCATTTGCCCAGGATTGAGGATCTTCTGATCAATTGAAGGGAGCTACGTACTTTTCTCAGATTGATCTGCAGTCTTC